ACCAATTTTTCCGTAAATTTATATAAAACCAGTTTTCTTATTGCATTTTTTCCTGTACAACAGCCATAAAGAGCAGCATAAGCAAGTATTTCTCTAACATCGTGCAACTGATGTGGCAAAAGACTTTTGTCGAATTATGTATTCTTTAAACGGGATGAAAAGTTTTAACGGTCGTTATATATATTATTATTTGATATACTCGTTAGGGAAGAAAAACGTATTAAAATACTGCGGTATTCTAAACACTCCTATTATACATAAATAAGTTTATTAATATTTAAGGATATAAAAATACCTAAATAACAAAACAAATAACACTGCGTAACAAAATTTTGTCTTTTTTTTTTTTTGTCTTTGGTCTCTAGGTGTTATTAGCTAATTGCTTCTGTCTATGAAGCAAAAAATGACTCTTATTCCCTTCAAACTTTACTTTTGTGACCTGTACATTCAGATTACAGAAGTGCAGCTGAGGAGAGAAACTCATATTACCCAAACGAAAAGACTTCAACGACCTGATCAGAGATCTTGGTTTTGCAAAGTCCAATGCCTAGCTTTTGATATCGAGGCTCAAACAGTGTAAATTGTTAAATGAAAGTGTGCAATTCACAGGTCATAGAAAACGTCATTTCTGTTTTTCAAAACTTCTCCACCCGTCAAGATGGGTCGCTCAACTCTGAACCGACTATTCGGTTTAACTCTCTTTCTCCGGGGAGGTAAAACCGGCCCTGAACCCGTTTACACGGGTTCAAATGGGCTATTTTTTGGCCGAGCCTAATGGCTCGGGAATTCCCACGTTAAAAAGGCCTTGTGCCACATGACACCCTTGAATATCGTCAAGATGGGTTTTGCTTCTGCCACAATATGGCCGGTCTGTTCATGGCAGTTGGAATCGCCTGTAACCCCATCGAGCTTCGCCTCTTCATTGACAGCTTATCCAAGTGACTCAAAACCCTGCTGCTTCATAACATTTTGTCGTGGCTCACTCGATGCCGGTCAAAAGGGAAAATACAGCAATGCCAAGATCTTGCTTGATGCCTTGAAATATGAAGAATATGGTTAGGAGACTTCAAAATATTGGCCTTCCTGCTGGATCTCCAAGGAGACTTTAAAATGTTTCCGTGTTATCTTTGCCTATAACACAGCAGAGATACCGCGGCACACTACACTGGCCACAGTTGACAGAGTCCTATGAGGAGGAATAACATAAAATGGAAGCCACTGTTGGACCCCCGGAAAGTGTTGGACACCACTACACTTAAAAACTGGGCGTTGTGAAACAATTTATCACTAAATATGGAGTCTATAGCCTGCAAGAAACTTCAAGATTTATTCCCTACGCTGTCTGCCTCAACAGTTAAAGACGATGTCTTCGATATTGGACTCTACAATTAAAGATGATCATAGAGTGCAAGGAATTCCCCAAGACGCTCACTAGGGAAGGGAAAACAGCGTGGAACTGTTTTTGTTCGGTTGATCGGGCTCCATGGGAGATCTCCAGGCTGTAATCTATGTGGAGCTTGTTGAGAGCCTCGTGAAAAACTTCAGCAAAATGTCCTGCAGGATGTTCGTCAAAGTCCATATCCTTGACACTCATTTTGATAAATTCAAGAACAACGTAAAGGCTTATTCAGAGGAGCAAGGCGAGCGATTCCATCAGGATATACTGGACTTTGAAAGGCCCTACCAAGGATAGTTTAACAAAAATATGTAATCTACAGTATAAGCGTTAATCTTGAAAAACTAACCACTTATGATTTTTTATTGTCTCTCTTGTGTAATCCTAGAATAAATAAATGATACTTTTGAAACATATATCGTTTTGTTCCTACTTTGTGTGAACAAGAATGTTCTTGTGTAATCCTAGAATAAATAAATGCTACTTTTGAAACATATGTCGTTTTGTTCCTACTTTGTGTGAACGAGAATATTCTTGTATAATCCTAGAATAAATAAATGTTACTTTTTAATCATATGTCGCTTTGCATGAATGACAATGTTCACATTTTTCCCAATGGTAATTGGTAAATTTCAGATTTATAATTAGCCTTGAAGAAAATATTAGCCATTTTTTCTACTTTCTAGATGTAAGCAAATCAGATAAACGATAAAAATTGTGTGAGACAGTGAATTATTTTCAAAGTGGTTTTCAGTATATTCTTGAGGTATCTGGACAATTTAAGGAGGTCCCGAAGTAATTTCTTGGGGTACTTAAATATATTCTCGTGCTTTTTCAACCTCCTGGCCTTCATGGACTCGTTGGTATTCAAGTGTATGATTTAATCCCAAAACTATAGTGTAAGGCTGTTCTGACGAACAGAGAGTTCTCTCTTGTTTCAAAAGCTATACTGATGAACCGTTTGCAGTTTTTGGCATTGAGGATGACACGGAAGTACCAATTCTGTTTTTTGTTCAGCCATCCGCCCTAAAATCCCCCTCCACCTCGCTGCATTGCTTACTCTGGGTGCCGTTCCAAATGTCTGTGATCTTCTTGACATTTAGAAAGGACACACTTATTTTGTTGGAGATGCTTTTAGGGCTAATTTTTGCATGAAGCAAGTATGGCATACATTTTGTCGTCTGTCCTCCTGTGAAGCCATATTTCTACGATGTCCCATAGGGCACATTAATAGTTGTCAGTAAACTCTTTGTCCAGCATTTGATTTTCATGTCATTTAGCCACGTGGTTGGTTGGAAATTTTAGTTATATATATATATATATATATATATAAGATAAAATATAGTTTTTTATTTATCCTATATTTATGGAAGAAAAGTGCTCAACATTGGAAACTGAGCGCAAGTAAATATAATCATTTTCGACATGGGTATCGAAACAGAATAATGATAGTCTGTTTCAGACTACATATTGCAAAACTTAGGCCTTGTCGATTATATGTTCACGGCTATGTCGTGATTTTATATGTAAGAAGAAAAATAATGGACATGCGGCAAGAATGACAACTACTGTCTCGTAACAACTGTGCATTTTAATGTTTCAGCATCAGAGTTGTATAAGCAAATAAGCTCACCTTTAATACTTTATTATAAGGTGTTGAAATCTGCAGTTGTGAGCAAGAAGATAAATCTGACTGAATATGATAAAGACCAAATTGTTTTAGTCAAAGTCTATTTCCTAAACGGTTTATGAAGTCCTTATATTAAGTTGCGTTGAAAACCTAAGGTCAACGGAGGGAAACGATTAAATGGACAATACTAAACACTGGGAGCCTAGGAGTTATCGGGGCCAAATGTAAACAAAAAGCGGTTTCATCATCGAAAGTGGCTTACCTAACTCTCACTATATAATTTGCTGCAATCAAAAGACTTGATGTTAATATCCTGGCACTAGATGTGATGTTTTTGTTCATCAGTATATACCTATATAACTTTCCGTCCTGGGTATGACGATAAACTACATCCACATCCTGGGTATGACGATCAACTACATCCGCGTCCTGGGTAAGACGATAAACTACGTCCAGCAGCAAGGCTTCTGATCAGGAGGTTTTGAGGAACGTGGAACCACCTCTTAATTGCTGGTGTTCTCAGGTCCACCCTGACCCGAGGTGGTAGCACTTGTTAGGGTCCAAGCTATGGGAAAATAGTTAACCCTGAAACTGAGGTAAAAAGCCTTATGAAAGTGTAAAAATAGGTTTTAATACCAGAAATACTTTTCAAAAAATTATTACCAGCAATAAATTTTTGAAGGAAAAAAACTATTACCAGCAATATAATTTTTTTAAAATATCACCAGCAATACATTTTTTAAATAATATTACCAGCTATACATTTTTGAGGAAAAAATTTAAAACCTTTTTGCGAAAATAAAACCATCCAAGATTGTAAATTTCCTAAAAGTTGGATTGTACTCAAAAATATGAGTAATTTCAAATATATATGTATACATACACACCTTTTTTAACAAACTATCGCTATGAATCTATTTCAATTTTTTTTTTTTGTAATGAAATGACCCACTGTGGTTGATATGCCATAAAACAAAACAACCAACAACCAACCTATATAACTTTTGATTTAAATGTATCGCCTGTTACATAATCCAAGAAAACACACGAACGACTTTTAAACCCCTTGAATACCAATTACGTATGAGCTGCTAATGTCTACGCAATGCAAAAGCTTCAAGCAAGCTGTGTTGATTAAATCTCCTTCGCAAAATGAGACTCTTCACAAGAATAAACCATGAACTTTGTGAATTGTCTGGCTACGGCAAAGAACACGGAATCAAAGACGGACTCGACCTGCCTTTCCCACCTCAAAAAAAAAAAATGTATAAAAAGTGTTCAATAAACATCAAAGAATTGGCAAGCGGCCCGTTTTTTTTTGTTTTTTTTTTAATGAATATAGAAGTCGGGAATGCAAAAAGGGAGAAAAAAGGACGGGAAACCAGTGTAACGTTATAGAGAAAGGAAAGAACGACAGTGTATAGAGTTATAGAGAGTGAAAAGAGAAGAAAAAGAAGAAAGAAGGAAAAAAAAAATGAAGGAACAGCCTCCCGAGATAGAAAGTGAGAAACGGTTGACATTAAATCATAGGACTGACGGAAAACGACTTCGTCAAACGGGAGACGAAGAATCAATGAACACCACTGAAAGAAATTAAAGAGGACCTAATATGCACCGACATGCGCAGACAGACTCACGCACACATACACATGAACATACATACGTACACTTTCACACAGTCATACACACATGCCTATACACACACTCATACATACATATATATATATATATATATATATATATATATATATATATCAATATTTATACACATATACGACACAAACAAGGGCACTTCGATGTGGTGTAATGGTTAGCAAGCTGGTCTCTCTAGAGCCTCACTTGCTGCCCCATACTTTGTCTCAACTACGCTTAGAGAATCATCATACAGATACAAACAAGATCAAACAGACGCACACACGCAAAATCACACATGCAGAAATTTCTACAAATATATATATAGGTATACACGCGACCATGTGCGAGCAAATTCATGACCTTCGACGTGGTGTAAATGGCTAGAACACTCGTCTCGTTACGTCACTTCTGACTGAATAGTGAGTTCGATCCTCCCTTCGGCCTTATGCCACATCTGAGCTACTCTTAGAAAAGCACCACATGTTGACACATGTATTCAAAACTCATACTACTGTCTTTCAAAAAACTAAGAGATATTTTTTTATCGATTTGATGATTGGCACACATTCGATATTCTAAGGTATTTTATTTATTATTTTTACCTTATTTCTATTCTTATTTTAGTTTTACAGCAGGAAAAAAGCATCATTTCCAATATAGATTTCAGAATTAGATCTTTGTCTCTGATCTTCTGTAATAGTGACTTTTTAAAACATCTCTGTCTATGGCCTCCCACCATCACGTGGGTTGGCACAAGATAAACACTATTATATTTTCACTTTTTAAAGCATTTTTTTATTTTATCAATCTTATATATTCTACGATATTTTCTTTCTTTTATTTTCCTTTTATTTTATTTTTTATTTGTTTTCTTTTATTTTCACTGGTTTTGTTTCCTTTTTACTCTATATTGGCTTTCATTCAAGGTCACTAAGCTATTTTGAAAACATTATCGGATAATTTTTCCACACATCGTTCCCACTCCCTCTCTGTACTTTGTCTTTCGTTATCCCCATGACAATCTCTTTTTAAGGTCGAATTCACTTTGAGTTTCTTTTTAGTTAAGTCTTTGAGTCCATGCATTTTAGTTCTGAATCCGTTCTATTTATTTTTATATTCCTCTCACCTATATTTCATTCTGATCTTTCCCTTGAAATAAAACGGCACAAGTCTTTATCCACCAATATACAGACACATTTCATGAAAGGGGAATTAATTATTGTCATATAAAAACAAATTAATATTACTTTTAAACACAAATTTATTCAGTGTTGCCTCGTAAGTTTTCACTTGTTGTATATTCATTGTACGATACTGAAAAACATCATAGGGAAAATTTTTAACGAATAATGTAGGCTTCAGTCTGACTCTTCCGCTTACTCTCCTTCCTCTTCTTCCTCCTCCTTTTACACGCCATCCTCCTCCCTTTACTCTTCTTTCTCCTCCGTTTACTATTCCTCATCCTTTTACACGTCATCCTCCTCCCTTTACCCTTCTTTCTCCTCCGTTTACTATTCCTCCTCCTTTTACACGTCATCCTCCTCCTTTTACTCTTCTTTCTCCTCCGTTTACTATTCCTCTTCCTTTTACACGTTATCCTCCTCCTTTTACTCGTCATCCTCCTCCTTTTACTCTTCTTTCTCCTCCGTTTACTATTCCTCCTCCTCCTTTTACTCTTCTTTCTCCTCCGTTTACTATTCCTCCGCCTTTTCCGTGTCATCCTCTTCCTTTAACATTTCCGTTACTCTTCACTTTAATACATACTCCTTTTAGTCAACCTTATACGGCTACTCCTCCTATGATTATTCATCCTCCGCCTTTCATTTTTTCCTCCTCCTTTTGCTTTTTCTCCTCCTCCTCCTCCTCCAGTTATTTCTCTTCTTTTCTAGTTCTGCATCTCCCCCTTTTTATCATTCTCTCTATACTTTATACATTCCTCTACCTTCGTCCAATCTCCACCCCTCCCTCCGTCTCCTCCAACTGCTACCTCTTCTTTCTCTTAACATTTCTTTTTTTCTCCTTTTCTTTCTCTTTCCTTTATATTTCATTTTCCTTCATTTTTCCTTCGCTTGTTTCATCTTTCTTTCCTCTCATTTTCCTCCTTCCTCGTTTTATCCAAATCAAAATTCTTTGTATAGATATTTGATGAGCAAGAGGGATTCGAATTAGGTTCACAGACTTCAGAACCATTGATCCACATCGAATATCACATTGCTTTACTAAGCCTGGTCAGTCACAAGGCCAGAGTAATCAGCTACCAGTGAAGAATGAATTTCTTATGCTTGCAAATTAGTCTCAAGACTGTTTTGTTTTACATAGGAGACGCCATTCGCTATCTTTGTGAGTAATGTTTAGAGGCTTGCAAGAAAAAATTGGCGACCCCGGTTCGATTTCTGGTCTACATTCACGTTCACACATATACCCTTAAGAAAGGCGTGTTTCCTATTTTTAGCCTCCCTAGATATGGATTAAATTACATGGAAGACTGAACTTCTAGCCGTGGCTGTCAACCAGTATAGAAAGTGGATTCTAAATTCAAAACTATATGTGGTCTTGATGCGACATATACTTGAACTGAAACTAACGTCGGTTCGGCATAGTTGCAGTATAGACCACAATTCGACTTTGGGTTTGAAGAGATGAGTATATTCGGAAATGAGCCCTCATGCCGAAGAGGAAAAATCACACAGATTTTCACTGTGAATTTCCTCAAAATATAAAAGCGCATCTTTTATTCGGTACTTAAATATAAGTATTCATTCGCTGTTTCAAAACTAAAACAAATGATTTTTTTTAATTTAAAAAAAAATGAACTCTCCGAATCTTATACCTACATATTGGCCGATAAGCTTGTCTTTAAAGTTTAGAGTATTCGGGCCTCATTAGATGCCCTTCTATGTGACCTTACGAAGGAAATATGTAATTATTCATCATCATTTGTCTCTCACGATTTTTTTTTGTTTTTTTTATCAATCCAAAACCCCTGATATCCTTTTTTTCTTTCTTTTTTCTTACTCAGACTAATTCTATCAAAACGATGCATTATCATCTAGCCTCGTTTCCATTTCGGGTTATAAAATATTCGAAAAAAGCACGCTCTTTGCTCAACGAAGTGTCAGAAAATGCAAGCAGCTATTTAAAAAAAAATCGAAAGAAAATCGATACGAAATTATATTATCGCATAAAAAATGCTAAGTGAATTTCCAAATTAGTTTATCGCTGTTTTTTCTTTTCTTCTTTTTTGCTTATCAACTCAAAATGTTTTATTTCGATTTCCATCTGTTTATCTATTTATTTTATCTTAATTCTATTCTGGTGGCAACAGAAATTCAAGTGGCCTGTAAAAAGAATTGTTGAAGCCACAGGAATATTTTAAAGAGGGTTGATGCCTGGTTCACTTTTAAATGCAACATTCGTATTCTCCATATTCTCGGTGGAAAGAGAAGGAACGCTTTCAACAAAGATTATAACGATGCAAGATTAAGACATAGTTTAATGATGTTTAATTTCCAAGAAAAACACAGGGCGCACTAACACTACGATATTACAGTATACGTATGCTCGCTGAGGCTGTGAATGTTCGTAGAGCTGTGAATGTTCGTAGAGGCTGTGAATGATTGCAGAGGCTGTGACTGCTCACAGAGGCTGTGAATGTTCAGAGAGCCTGTAAAGACTTGCAGAGGCCGCGAATGTAGAGGCTATGATGCTCGTAGAAGCTGTGAATGTTCATAGAGCCTGTAAATACTTGCAGAGGCCGTGAATGTAGAGTCTATGAGTGCTTGTAGAAACTGTGAATGTTCATAGAGCCTGTAAATACTTGCAGAGGCCGTGAATGTAGAGGCTATGAGTGCTCGTAGAAGCTGTGAATGTTCATAGAGCCTGTAAATACTTGCAGAGGCCGCGAATGTAGAGGCTATGAGTGCTCGTAGAAGCTGTGAATGTTCATAGAGCCTGCAAATACTTGCAGAGGCCGTGAATGTAGAGGCTATGAGTGCTCGTAGAAGCGGTGAATGTTCATAGAGCCTGGAAATACTTGCAGAGGCCGTGAATGTAGAGGCTATGAGTGCTCGTAGAAGCTGTGAATGTTCATAGAGCCTGTAAATGCTTGCAGAGGCCGCGAATGTAGAGGCTATGAGTGCTCGTAGAAGCTGTGAATGATCATAGAGCCTGTAAATGCTTGCAGAGGCCGCGAATGTAGAGGCTATGAGTGCTCGTAGAAGCTGTGAATGTTCATAGAGCCTGCAAATACTTGCAGAGGCCGTGAATGTAGAGGCTAAGAGTGCTCGTAGAAGCTGTGAATGTTCATAGAGCCTGTAAATACTTGCAGAGGCCGTGAATGTAGAGGCTATGAGTCCTCGTAGAAACTGTGAATGTTCATAGAGCCTGCAAATACTTGCAGAGGCCGTGCAGTTAGAGGATATGAGTGCTAGTAGAAGCTGTGAATGTTCAAAGAGCCTGTAAATACTTGCAGAAGCCGTGAATGTAGAGGCTATGAGTGCTCGTAGCAGCTGTGAATGTTCATAGAGCCTGTAAATACTTGCAGAGGCCGTGAATGTAGAGGCTATGAGTGCTCGTAGAAGCTGTGAATGTTCATAGAGTCTGTAAATACTTGCAGAGGCCGTGAATGTAGAGGCTATGAGTGCTCGTAGAAGCTGTGAATGTTCATAGAGCCTGCAAATACTTGCAGAGGCCGTGCAGTTAGAGGATATGAGGGCTCGTAGAAGCTGTGAATGTTCATAGAGCCTGCAAATACTTGCAGAGGCCGTGAATGTAGAGGCTATGAGTGCTCGTAGAAAATGTGACTGTTCATAGAGCCTGTAAATACTTGCAGAGGCCGTGAATGTAGAGGCTATGAGTGCTCGTAGAAACTGTGAATGTTCATAGAGCCTGCAAATACTTGCAGAGGCCGTGAATGTAGAGGCTATGAGTGCTCGTAGAAGCTGTGAATGTTCTTAGAGTCTGTAAATACTTTGCAGAGGCCGTGAAATGTAGAGGCTATGAGTGCTCGGAAGCTGTGAATGTTCATAGAGCCTGTAAATACTTGCAGAGGCCGTGAATATAGAGGCTATGAGTGCTCGTAGAAGCTGTGAATGTTCATAGAGCCTGTAAATACTTGCAGAGGCCGTGAATGTAGAGGCTATGAGTGCTCGTAGAAGCTGTGAATGTTCATAGAGCCTGTAAATACTTGCAGAGGCCGTGAATGTAGAGGCTATGAGTGCTCGTAGAAGCTGTGAATGTTCATAGAGCCTGTAAATACTTGCAAAGGCCGTGAATGTAGAGGCTATGAGTGCTCGTAGAAGCTGTGAATGTTCATAGAGCCTGTAAATACTTGCAGAGGCCGTGAATGTAGAGGCTATGAGTGCTCGTAGAAGCTGTGAATGTTCATAGAGCCTGTAAATACTTGCAGAGGCGGTGAATGTAGAGGCTATGAGTGCTCGTAGAAAATGTGAATGTTCATAGAGCCTGTAAATACTTGCAGAGGCCGTGAATGTAGAGGCTATGAGTGCTCAAGAAACTGTGAATGTTCATAGAGCCTGTAAATACTTGCAGAGGCCGTGAATGTAGAGGCTATGAGTGCTCGTAGAAGCTGTGAATGTTCAGAGAGTCTGTAAATACTTGCAGAGGCCGTGAATGTAGAGGCTATGAGTGCTCGTAGAAGCTGTGAATGTTCATAGAGCCTGCAAATACTTGCCGAGGCCGTGCAGTTAGAGGATATGAGTGCTCGTTGAAGTTGTGAATGTTCATACAGCCTGCAAGTACTTGCAGAAGCCGTGAATGTAGAGGCTATGAGTGTTCGTAGAAGCTGTGAATGTTCATAGAGCCGGTAAATACTTGCAGAGGCCGTGAATGTAGAGGCTATGAGTGCTCGTAGAAGCTGTGAATGTTCATAGAGCCTGTAAATACTTGCAAAGGCCGTGAATGTAGAGGCTATGAGTGCTCGTAGAAGCTGTGATTGTTCATAGAGCCTGTAAATACTTGCAGAGTCCGTGAATGTAGAGGCTATGAGTGCTCGTAGAAGCTGTGAATGTTCATAGAGCCTGTAAATACTTGCAGAGGCCGTGAATGTAGAGGCTATGAGTGCTCGTAGAAGCTGTGAATGTTCATAGAGCCTGCAAATACTTGCAGAGGCCGTGAATGTAGAGGCTATGAGTGCTCGTAGAAGCTGTGAATATTCATAGAGCCTGTAAATACTTGATGAGGCCGTGAATGTAGAGGCTATGAGTGCTCGTAGAAACTGTGAATGTTCATAGAGCCTGTAAATACTTGCAGAGGCCGTGAATGTAGAGGCTATGTGTGCTCGTAGAAGCTGTGAATGTTCATAGAGCCTGTAAATACTTGCAAAGGCCGTGAATGTAGAGGCTATGAGTGCTCGTAGAAGCTGTGATTGTTCATAGAGCCTGTAAATACTTGCAGAGGCCGTGAATGTAGAGGCTATGAGTGCTCGTAGAAGCTGTGAATGTTCATAGAGCCTGAACTAAATACTTGCAGAGGCCGTTTCAGTTAGAGGATAAAGTGCTCGTAGAAGCTGTGAATGTTCATGAGTCTGTAAATACTTGAGAGGCCGTGAATGTAGAGGCTATGAGTGCTCATAGAAGCTGTGAATGTTCATAGAGTCTGTAAATACAAAGCAGAGGCCGTGAATGTAGAGGCTATGAGTGCTTGAGAAGCTGTGAATGTTCATAGAGCCTGTAAATACTTGCAGAGGCCATGAATGTAGAGGCTATGAGTGCTCGTAGAAACTGTGAATGTTCATAGAGCCTGTAAATACTTGCAGAGGCCGTGAATGTAGAGGCTATGGAGTGCTCGTAGAAGCTGTGAATGTTCAGAGAGTCTGTAAATACTTGCAGAGGCCGTGAATGTAGAGGCTATGAGTGCTCGTAGAAGCTGTGAATGTTCATAGAGCCTGCAAATACTTGCCGAGGCCGTGCAGTTAGAGGATATGAGTGCTCGTTGAAGTTGTGAATGTTCATACAGCCTGCAAGCAAATTGCAGAAAAATGTAGAGGCTATGAGTGTTCGTAGAAGCTGTGAATGTTCATAGAGCCGGTAAATTTTGCAGAGGCCGTGAATGTAGAGGCTATGAGTGCTCGTAGAAGCTGTGAATGTTCATAGAGCCTGTAAAATACTTGCAAAGGCAAGTGAATGT